CTATTACGTACCATTAATTACTAAAAATAGAACTTTTTGAAATTTCTATACATTTAAAAATAATAATTTAGGCTTTATTATCATATATTTTAAGTATCCATTTCCACAAAAAAAAATTAAATAATAAAAATAAAGAAATAATATTAAGTTATCACAAATGTTAGTAAAAATATGAAAGTATTAATTTTTCAGACTACACAGCCTACYGCATACCAATATGTATTGCCTTTTGCTAACCAGCAGGCATCTGTGGTATGCGTACCACAGTTTGGGAACCGTTGGTTTAGTTTATAAACTAACATAAYCATCACTTATCATATTTTTTATTTATAGCTGTTCAATACATTATCAGGTCTTTTAAAACGTGTATACATGGTATATATTATATTTTATAATATTTTTATCACAAACAAGTTTGCAGTACGATAGAATATAACTACAATCTCTTGGTTATTTTTTTCATCATTATTAAATTAGTTGTTTTCTAATAGTGTTGATGAATGTACCTACAGCGTACAAATAACTACAATAATTACGCTTTTAACATTAAGCTGTACAATAATAGTTTATGATTCTATAACATAATAAAAATCTTAATGATATGCTAATTTTTTCAGTTCTTTTCCATTAATAGTCATTTAAGTTGTGATATTTTGCTAATATAATGTTAAAGACTTGCTTCGGATGTTGTCCACTACACCATGGCGTCAGTGCGATTGCCCTTATAAACATAGTAAGAACTTTAGATTATTCTGTTAAACATATTATAATATGTATAGTATATATAGTTATTTTGTGATGAGCCTGTAAAATGTAAATAGATTTAGTAAATGTAGTTATTATTCGATGTCAACTCATTAGTTAAAATTCTTATTTTGATAACGATTTTAATCACATTTTATAATAGGTATCCAGCTACTAAAATATATTATCTTATTTTTATTTTTCGTGTTTTTACTTTGTATTTATTATGTTATTGCGGGTTAGCTTATTATCTTCATTGTTTTAATTTTGTTTTACGTTATTTGATCTATAATAGATTTATAAAAATAAAGATAGTCAAAAAATACAAATRTTATTATATTATTAGGTAAYAAGGAAAAAATATTTTTTTTAGATAACTTTAAGCAATTACAAAAGAATATTACTGAAAAAACACTATTATTTTACAGTTATAATTTTTATATATTTTCTACTCTTTTAAATGACATTATGCATTTTTAATTTTATACTATTATTCGGAGTATTTCAACCCATGAAATTCGAATTCTGAGAATGTAGTTTATAAGACATCATAGGTAATTTATAAGCATTGTATTTTTTTTTTTATTATTATTATTATTATTATTAAAGAAATAACCCTCTGCAACTTGGCCATTGAGATAAGATACGTTTTTTTTTTTTTTGAAAGGTGTTACATAATAATAAAGGAAAAGTTTAATAACAATAACAATAAATGCCTAAATTATATGAGAATAATAATAATAATAATAAGGTTGTGTTTTTTTTTTAATGATTAAATAAGTTTGTCCAGTCCTGTCTCCTGGAGAAACACGAATATGTCTGGTGATTGCAGAAAAGGTCCTAGTATATCGTATAAATCGCTGGATAGATTATTGGGATTTCTTGCATCGAGGTATGCAAGACATTCCGTGAGAATATGTTTAATTGTAAGTTCGATCCCACACGTCATACACGAGGGGGGCTCGTCTCGGGACATTAGGTAGCCATGTGCTATCCTGGTGTGGCCTATTCTTAGCCTGTTGATATTGGTTTTCTTTTTTCTATCAGGATGATAGTTATAGGCCAGTGAAAAACAGTTGATTTAATTTCATTAAGTTTTGTTTTTTGTTTCGCCCATGTATTTTTCCAAGCTTGTATTGATATGTGTTTTATCGTTCTTATGGGTCTTGAAAAGTGGTGAGCGGAATTATGTCTAAAGAAATTGAAGTATTGTATTATGTGTAGTATGTATTGTGTTATAAAAAAATAATAAAACCTTCAAAATTATGATTATAAAAAATAATAAGAAATATTATTTTGAAATTACATGATATATGTTAAARAAATATTTTCAAAAAGTTAAAAATTCGAAATTATGAGTGTAAACAATTAATTAGATCTCTCTGTATATTATTATTTAACCAAGATAAATAATTTGTATTTCCTTTTYTCTCATACACCTAATAAGTAATAACATTAATTTTATTAATTGAACAGCTATATATATATATTAATTAATTAATAATATACTTATGTGATTAGAGTATTTACAAGCTTACGACATAATAAAACAAAATATAGAACTTTGCTCCTGCATCTTGCGTGCCCATGTGGCTGTATTTAATATCAATAATACTAAAAATCAATCACGTTTTATTACATATATTACGCATACACATCATCATAATAAAAATAAATTTTAAAATAATTTAAACCAACATTTATTTGTCTATGACAAAATAAATCTAAAATAAAATATTATTTCGCCAAAGCTATTTCAGTGGGGATGCCAAAATGTCATCATTGAATGCTGGTGCCTGTATAATATCTATACTTATATCAATATGGCACATGCTATAAGTGTTAAATAAAAAATTATTTAACTTATACCCACACTAAAAACAAATGAACCTAATGCATAACATTATTAAAATGTAAACACGTTATAATTACGCATGATAATCAAATGACAATAGATGGAAAGGATTATTTAATTTAAAAAAAAAAAAATGTTTTCTAACCTTGGCACCTTGCGTACATTGGTTTAATAACGTACTTATTAGTATTAAGTTGAAATCGAGATTTCAACGAGGTGAACAATTAATTAGAAAACAGGGAAGTCGATCGTGTTGTATTGCATTTCGAGTGTAAATCGTTACTGAAGATATAAGGTAACTGCTAAAATTAGAATTTTATATATTTATGATTAAAAATAAATAATGATAAAGATTAATATTATTTAGAAAATTATAATAATTCCTATAGTTATTCTATTTTAAGTTACAATAAAAATTATAGGTATGATTTTTAATAAAACTGCATCGCATAAATATTTCAGTTTTTTTCCTTTTAAAAATTACATTTTTTGACCATCTATAATACTACTACTAACTAAATCTAATTTTCTATTTGAAACCGCCTTCAAATTTGAAGTTTGAATAATTTTTAACGCTCCAATACGCGATGACAGATAATAAACAAAAAATAATAAAGGTACCTATTCAGCAATACAGGTACAATCAAAAGTTATCTAATTCGTTAAATATCAAAATTATCATATTATTTGTATTGTAGTAACATAATTACTATAACAGGTTTGGAATATTACGGAAGCATTAAAACACATTTATCACCGTAATGAACAGTATGAACGTTTTAAGTGGGTTATCAATTCAAATGGTAATACATCTGTTTCTCCCGATGACAATAGCACTGCAGAAGATGAGTCTGTTGATTACTGGTCGGATGTCGAAAGGATTCCTGTCATGAGTGGTAAATGTTTAATACTAGATCAATAACATATTTCCAGTTTTATTCTATTTTTTCACGTTATACTTAATAAAATATTGTCATGTCGRCTAATTATATCTACACGCTTACTCGATTTAGGAATATACATGGACTACGTATTTATAATAACAATCAGTTGGGTCGTTTTGGAATTCATCTCGAATTGCTGTCTCAAGCAATCCACCTTTAAAGTAATATAAATAATATTAAAGTACCTATGATTATTAATTATCATAAAACATACAATATGGTATAATTATTTATGTCCACTCATTAATTGTAGCGTGCTCCTCAAAAAATCTACCTGTGGTTAGTAGTTTATTACGCGAATTTGTTGTTTATGGTATTGCATTTGCTCCATTATACAATATTGATGATGAGGCATTCAATTCTAATATATACATTATTCACAATGGTGCAACAACATTTTGGACATTTTTTTGTGGTATGTATAATATCAATTATAATAATTCAGAGACTTAAAATTGAAAATAATTGATACGGGTATTATTGTAATATATTAACATTTTTTATTTCCAATTTTTTGAAATATTTTTTTTTTATATACTGAAAAATCTATAAAATAAAATAACATTTTCAAACTCCTGAACTAATTACTTGCACAATATTAATTTGTGAATTATTTAAAGCTGCAATTGCAAATTAAAATTAATTTGATGATATCACTGTAATTCTAGGAAAACGACTTAATCTTAAAAGTGTCAAACTTATTATTTCGGTCACTTATAATAATGTATTATATTAATTATTAAAAGAACTTCAGATATGTTAAAAATAACATGGTTTTTTGAAAAAAGTGACTAAATGAATATCACATGATGTGAACATAAAATATAACTACCTACCATCAATGTGTTATAAAATGCCTTCTATAGTGTATTATAATAAATATAATATTGTAGGTACAATACATCTATTATAAATGTCTTAAAAGCAGACTAATTCATTTTAAATACTTCCAAAGTTTTATACACGTTTTTAATATTTTAAATTGTAGAGAATTAA